TTTGCTTAAAGTATTTTTCTCCAATTCAAAACATCCAATCCAAACGACAATTTATCTCTCGCTGATTTTTTAATCATGACACGCACAGCATTTCATTTTCAGTCACCAAATAATTGAGCCATGCCATAAACTTAGCAACTGAGCGAAATGTTATAATAGAAATATATGCCATATGACACCATAAGAATGTCTGTCATCGCCTCACACACCACACGTATAACAAAAACATTACCAATAACACCAGTAATCTCTCTATATAGCCCAAACTGAAAGAATTAAGAGAGCTCTAGTCTCTCCTTTCGCTGTCATTTTTACAGAGCAAAGCAACCAATCAATAGCGAGGCGGGCATGGCAGATTCCAGCCGTAATCCTCAAAATATTCTTATGTGGATTAGCTTCTCCCCCAGCCATTTTCATTTTCACTCTGTAAGGTATTAGTCTGACAGCCAAGTGGAGCAAAACAAATAATAGACACTTCAAATGGGAAGAAACGTCTAATAACAGCAACCTGGTTAAGCTGCTGCTTGCCTTTTCTCTATTTCCATACTTGTTTGCTGCAGGCCCTAAACAAATTATATGTGCTATATGTTGTGTACTAAACGTTCATCTAATTTGAAAGCAGTATCACTGGCTAATGGAAAACTAAGGGATTCCTTGAAATGTGAGACTATTGTCAAAGCAGGGCTAAAGCATAAACCTCTGTCCTTTACATTCAAAGACACTGTGTGGAAACACAAAAGCACAATTAAACAATGCTTAAAGCCTCCAAACAATGGGCACAGAAGAGACTCCAATCATTTAAAGAGTCAGAGGGGGTAGTAAGAGTAAATTGATGGAGATTTTGTACAAGTTTGGAAGCAACAGTGATGGTTAGCTATATAGGAAATGCTAGAGGTCACATTATAAAAGGCATTAAAGTAATTATAATGGTTCAAGTCAAAATTATAATTAGAAAAGGTTTGTTTTCTCTAGCACCGAGGGTGCTAATGCAAACATAGTTCAAACCCTTTATCATATATCATATCATAATATTTTGCTACAGTCATGTAAACACAAAAAAACACACTGTTATACATTTAGGCAAGAGTCAACTGTTTAATGAGCATAGATATGCCCCCTACGTAATATGCCAGTTTCTGTTAGAAATATTGACTGCCACCAACACACAGCTGGTCAAGTAATGATAGGCTAACCAACACAAAAGGTTTGCAGAAAAAACTGTATTACTCATAACATTATACTGACTCCACACTAAAAGACAAGTGGTGACAGATCAAATAATAGATGATAGTGTAACATGTCGATTTCAGAATGATTGCAAGATCGCTATAATAATTTGTCTATTGCGCAAAAATCATTCTATGAGGACATCAAGAAACTCGATAAGAAAACCGGTTTTTCATGCTATAGCCTATCTCTCTACACTATCGCTGGCACCAAGCACAGCAACGAAACGCATAAAGAAAGGTAAGGGTAAAGAAAGTCCCTTGTTTTGACACGATGTGATTTTCTAATCACGGACTATTTCTCCTAAGTGAAAGCAGGTATATGATTGCACACGTTGTCTGAGCATCGTTATCCGGAGGGATAAAGTCATACACCATCTACACACTGCATACGAGCGACTACAAGTTACAATTGTCGCAAAGGGACAAAACGCTCACGAAGAGATGCTTAGCCCATATGCAGCTTCTAAGCAGAAGCAGCACGAGCATCGACCAAGACGTTATTATTTTTCCAAGCGAAGAGACCTGCACTTGTTGACTACGTTTGAACACTACGAATTCTGTTGACAAGAATGAATGGCATATACTATGACCCAGCAAACAAGGGACGTCCCCCGGACGTTTCAAACGTCCCCTTAGGTCCGCATTAGGTCCGCTTTGTAACGTTCCCGATCGGACGTTCGGAGGACGTCCGCACTTGGTCCCATTTGTAACGTTCGCTGACGGACATTCCGATGACGTTCGCATTTGGTCCGCTTTGTAACGTTCGCTGAAGGACATTCCGATAACGTTCGCATTTGGTCCATTTTGTAACGTTCGCTGACGGACATTCCGATGACGTTCGCATTTGGTCCATTTTATAACGTTCGCTGACGGACGTTCTGAGGACATTTGTCCGGGCCAGTTTGCGAACGTCCCTATTTCGTCCCTCACCTGGCATTTCCATGACAACACTTGCAAAATCCAGTCGCCCATGCGTTTGCCATCATCAACTGACACTTTGCAACTCAGACAAACGAATGATTAAACTAAAATATAAATGCAAATATTTGCATTAATTGTAAAATTAAGTTCATGTTAAAAATGTTAGTGTTTTAATGTTAAGATAATAACTTTCATGTAAATTATATCACTAATTAAAGATGTAATAAAACCACGAGTCTGTTTTCACCCGTTATAATTTAAACATCAAAAACATGAAAATTGATTCAATTGAATATGAGCTATTTATAAAGGCTATTCCACATGCACGAAGAGGTTGAATCCCAGGAGCTCTAAAAGAATGCATCGACTTCAAATGATGAATGCAGCCAAGGAAAACGTGAAGAATGAAAAATTGCTGGAAAGAAAGTGGAGAGTAACACGGTAAGACAAATAAAAGTATCCTTAACATTTACCTGTCAAACTGTTGGTCAGGCGAAGGTGACTGGTTTTATTAAAAATAATATATTTTAGGAAAAATATTGTTCTAATTATTGATAGCACATGCAGATCAAATAACACAAAAAAAATTGGAGAAACAAGCAAGTGACGATCAAATCATAGGATCAAATGCACCTAAGCGAGTGACGTCATTCCTTATGTATGCGGTTTGTATCACAGTCTATGGTTTGTATCCATGGCAACGCTCAGCTGCGTAGCGTAGTGACAGTTAACGGTCCTCCTCAGACGCAGCCTTATTGTGTTTTCTCTGTCCGTCGTCTGTCTAAAGGTATTTTTAATTTTTAGGTTATTATAAATTAGTTACCATAACCACTGTCCGTCTTTAAATTATATGAAAATGTTACCTTTTAAAACGTTTGCTGAAGTTGTCCGCAATGTACCGCTGATAACCGTTATGCCTAACACTACGAAGCTAACGTTAAATGTAGCTGAAATGAGACAACGTTATATTCCATTTGGATAAAATCATAACTGAATATGTTTATTTTGTTGTTTTAGGGCCAAAGGGGGAGAATTGCCATCGGATTAATCCCACAGCTGACCGACAAACACACACACACACAGCTGCCAGCGCATTTGAAGACACATGTGAACTTCGTTTCAGCTGGAAACTTGGCAACTAGACACGCAACACACACACACGCACTTTTTTTGTTTATGAAAATAAAAGTATTTTTGTTTCCTGATATTCCTTGTTGTGTGTTTGTTCCTTGGTTGTTCGATTTTGTGTTATCAGACTAATGCTACACTATAAAAGGGTCTTAAGATGTTAAAAGGACTTCTAGTGAATGTTCCGTAAAGGTCCCCGAAAGTTTTCTAAACGTCCCGCGAACGTCCCCCACGACGTCCTGCGAACGTTTAAAGAACCCTACACGAAGACGTTCAGGGGACGTTCGCAGTGGACGTTCAGGGGACGTTCTGGGGACGTTTTTTTGTTAGCTGGGGACCCTCTTCTATAAAGAATAGTATTCTATAAGGAAAGCGGGTATAAAATATAAGAGCGGGTAAATAAAAGGTCAGTCTGTTAGAGACTGCGTTGAATGACGGAGGAAATTGGCAGTGCCACGAGCAACAAAACATCCCCTAAGCAGCGAAGACCATGCGAATTATTCTAATGTTTTCCAAAATGTGATGTGTTTGTTTTAACCACAGCCCCTAAAGTTTGGATATATCAAGAAATGAGAACAGTAGGCTACAGAGAAACAGCGCGCGGATGCAGCCAGTTTAGAGCGAGCGGTCACACTCAAATGCGCTACTCTGACTTAAAGGGACGGTTCACACAAAAATGACACTTCTGTAATTTATTCGCCCTCATGTTGTTCCATGTGGAGTCCCAAAGCTGTATGACTATATTTCTTCCGTGGGGCACAAAAAAGACGCAAAAATGTTAGACTGACAGCCTCGGTCACCATTCACTTTCATTGCATCTTTTTCCATAAAATAAAAGTGAATGGTGACTGAGGCTGTCATTCTGCCTAACATCTCCTTTTGTGTTCCACAGAAGACGGATTTGAAAGAACAAGAGGAACAGCAAATGACGACCATTTTAAATCTTAGGAGAAGTGTCCCTTTAAAATAAAAACATAAGGTGATAAACAAACGACGTTCATGGGTATTCCTAAACTTATTCCTTAAACTTAAAGGAACTTATTAACATGCTTATGCGAGCTGCATGAAGCCGATGCATCGCGTTCCGTGATGCAGATGCAACTGCTGTATCTTTTCACAATCCATTCCAATGACTTGCAAGCTCGCAAGGACTCAAAACGACTGCAATTAATAAAATGTGATTCGAGAACCAAAAACAAGAACAAATGTCACTTAAAGAAACAAATTGATCAACAAATCCATTACAATAATCCATTGGAACAGAAGCTGTTAGCCTATTTCAGAACGCAGCTTTGCGTTCAATAAAGGTCAGTGTATGTTTCGCTCGCCAAAAGGCTGCTAATATAGTGAAAACATATTTACAATGTATCTGGTTCTATCTTTACCGCATCTAATTTGCTGGTGAAACAATTTCAGTTTATGTAAGGAAGAGAAACATCCCGCTTCCCCCGCACGAGAGACCCGCAGGAAAAGCAATTCCAGACTTTATCGCGTCAAAGTTAACAGAAATGAAAAGAAAACCCACATTTCACACGACCGCTTCAGTTTCGACAACACATATGTAACTTTGTAACCCGTCGGTACTTTGAACTATCACTTTCAACCAAGACGCCACACACTGTGTAGGCTACAAATCTCCGCAGGCGGCGAATGTCCGTCGAGCTGGCTCAACCATTTTTGCCTTAAAATACAAGCAGATTAAAGGAAAAGCACAGTTCCTACCTGTATGGATAGCTGCCGAAATGGTGAATAAAATGAGGAGAGTAGCGAGAGATCCGTTGCTCGTGTTCGCCATGTTGGACACCTGCTTCATTCTGAAGCTTGTGAGTGAGTTGAGCTTCACCTAGAGCAACGGGAGCTGCGCGTTATGAGATGCTGGGAAAGGGCGGGAACAAACACCCATTCAAAAGAACGTCAATGCATTTAATACAATCCTTATAGCCTACTGAACCGGGTCTCTTGATGTTATTGAATAGATTTTTTTAAAGACAAATTTGTTTGTTTCTGTAAAAACACCCTGTTGATCAGAAGAAAAAGGCTTCCCTGCCCCTCCAAAAAAAAAGTGCAATGGTAAACATTATATTTTTCGGCAGAATGTCATCAGTGCAGTTATTATAGGCTACAGTTAGCCTACTGTGTTTATTGTTAATAAAACTATAACTTAAACAATAAACAATTAAACTGTATCAATATGTATATTTTGGATATCATTCAAACTATCATAATAATAATATACTAATAATACAATTTTCAGTGGTAGCCTACTAATACCACTGTAGCTGTGCTAACTATAACAACATATTTAAGTAGGAACCATGGTTACCATGGGTGTTCACAATGTGCAACAGGATAAGGTCTTTAAAAAGGGTGCCTCTAGTGGCGTTACCTCTGTCTCTTTCGCTTTCTCTGAACACATGCACAGACATAAAAAAAAAAATCTTGAATGGAAGATTGGAATGGAATAGGTATATTACATTAGAAATATATTTAGGATTAAGGATTAAATATTAACCGTGTTAATTTGAAAAAGGTATACTGTAAATGCACTCAACTTTTTGAATGACATTGGAATAAAACACTGTAAAAAAAAAAAAGATCAATATGTTACAACATATGTTATAACATTGCTTTAACTCATCAAAATAAGTTAAGCAATTTTCAACTACAAGATTCAACTAATTTTTTAAGTCCGTTTTAATGTAATTTAAGTTGAAATGACTTAAACATCCAAGTTGAATGTACAAGTTGAAGGCAGCAACGTTTTTTTCAATGCAAGTAATGCAAGGACTAGAGGTAAAAAAAATGAAAGAAAAGTAAAGAAATTGATTAAAAAAAAACAATTGGAAATATAGCTGCGAGCAGCGATTACGGGCCCAAGCCGGTGGCACCGCAACCCCGGTGCCTTTAGTTACCTAAAGGCACCGGGGTGGCGGTACCACCGGCTTTGGCCCTTCATCGCTGCTCGCAGCTATATTTATATATATATATATATATATATATATATATATATATATAAAGCCGGTGGCACCGCCACCCTGGTGCCTTTAGGGTTATTGTGCACGACGTGCAAAAACGTAACCCTGCTTTGACTGTCGAAAAGAAGTGTGCTGTAGAGCTTGTATCAGTGTGGGCTCTGCAAAAGTGTGCATTGAGGGCACATATCAACCACAAAGTATGCGAGAGCAACCTTCTGAAAGGTCAGGTCTACATCCAGGTCTACATCTGCCGTGTGTTTACATCATAGTAGTGAAGTTTGAAGCAATCAGGTGATTTCAAAGCTTTTTGAAAGTGACAGACTTCCTGCTGCCAGTTGGTGGCGCTATAACCGGGGTGGCGGTGCCGCCGGCTTTGGCCCTTTCATCGCTGCTCGCAGCTATATTTATATATATACACACACAAACACACACACACACACACACACGTATATATATATATATATATATATATATATATATATATACATAAATATATATATATTGTTTTTTTAAGAGACAAGACAGAATATTACTTGCCTGATCTGATTAGAAAAATAGTGTTTGTGTGTGTGTGTGTGTGTGTGTGTGTGTGTGTGTGTGTGTGTGTGTGTGTGTGTGTGTGTGTGTGTGTGTGTGTGTGTGTGTGTGTGTGTGTGTGTGTGTGTGTGTGTGTGTGTGTTTGTGTGTGTGTGTGTGTGTGTGTGTGGCGTAATTGAACAATGTAGACATAAAAACATACTCCGTCCTTTTGTTCATACAGGACATTATTCAAACTGCAAAGTGTTTACTTATATTTGTGTACACTTGCAATAAAACACAACATTGTGCTTTTGTCAAGCTATAAACTCTTGTCAAACTGTAAACTACAACTGTCACCCAACCAAAATCTCTTACACACACACACACACACACAGTTTAAAAGCAAAAAATATCAAACAATCCTATTTAAAAACAGTCTGTGGGAGCCATCTTTTGGACATTCATCATATCGCATTGGTTTTCATTTCTTGTCATCAAACAGAGCCCTAATCTGTTTATTTTTTCAGTTACACATTCTACATTGATTAAAAAAGAAAAATCAAATGTGTTTTTATTTTATACAGAAATAAATAATCTATCATTCAGATGAGAATAAAGTTAGTGTTAGTTCAAATTTTAAGGAAAACAAATATATGATCTGAAATATAGCACATTCATTTAAAATTCATTCAGGTTCAATTACCAAACATACAATCTTAATGTAATTTAAAGCAAACAATACATTTAAAATATATGGGTTGTATGACTATTTTTTAATATAAAAAGATATATATCCAAAAAGACAAGGCCTAAAGTTTAACAAGGGTTAAACTCTTATCACTGTAACAGACACAATCACACACACAATCACACACACACACACACACACAAGTCAAATCACTTACATTTTACATGCAATATTGACTTTTTTTCTGTTTCAGCAGCGAAAATAGTTAAACAAAGATCACAGCAGAACCATCGCGCATCTCACAGCAACGCGTTCTCATTACTGAATGATTCAGCATTTTGAACGAATCGGTTGACTCAAAGATTCAATGACCAATCAATCCATAAACATCTATCTCATTCATGAATGACTCAGTCGTTCAAACGAATGAATCAATGACTCGCTCATTAAGACGGTCGCCTGGCGACACCTAATGACGGTTTAGTGTTATGTTTAAAAGTATCATTCTTTCCAACGATTGTTAATTAACTCATATTTGAAACATAAGCTATATTTATATATATACATACATATACACACACATACACAAAAATAAAATAAAAACACATTTGAAACGTGTTTGCTTACTAAATTGTGAGCTGAACGAAAGTTGCAGCAAATATCAGCAACAGGAGTCAAATTTCATTAATCACGAGAGTGAAGAGCTGACTGAAAAGATGATGATGGAATAGGCTATTTTATGTAAAAACGCCTATTTAAGCGAATCTGTCATTGTACTCTTTTATTGTTGTGTTTTCCGTGAAAAATAATAGACTATTGAACTCACAATTCAAGCAATCGGCCCCCGAAATTGCACTAATTTTAGTGACACTAAAAAGTATGCGGCTGCACTGGCATTCATAATGGTGCGCGTCCATGGCGACGAGCGAGCAGAACAGAGCGAACGTTTAGTTAATTTCTACTTCCATAGGAATTCATTCGAGCGCCACCATTTCAATGTCTGTGCGGACGTCCATATTATACTTTCGCTTTCAAGTTAGTGTTTTTAAACCCCCCAGCGGGAGGTTTACACAATTGGTTTACACAATCACACGTTGATTAACCGGTGGGAAAATATTCCCATAGTAACATCCCTAATATATAAATATTTATAAATTCAATAGGCCTACCTGATTTTGAACACAAGAGGGCAGTATAGCACTATATATGATTTGGATTATTATTATTTTTGACTAAACAACCATTCTGGCTGTTTTTAAACTTAAAAATAATTCTTAAATTGAAAAAAAGGAATAAAATGGGTTTAGTTCTAATATTTGTATAATTTTATATAAAAATAAATGGTGTATAATTACATTTTAGAAAGATATGAGACATGCCCTGATTCTTTTTTTGACATTACTTGAATCCCTCAACCATAGCAAAACCGTTTGAGATATTCAATATCTGTTCACAATTTAGCATCTTCAATGTATTTTCATCATGTTGAAAAAGTTTGGCATGAATAAAATAAACTACTTAGGAGGAGTAGCTAAAAACTCAGAATCTGAAATCCACATTCAAACCAAAATATCTGACTTCCTGTTGGTCGTAGCTAATTACGGTAAATTAGAAAGTTGTCCGGCTCGAAGAGTACAATATACATATCGAGTTTTGTTACTGTAGATAAAACTAACCCCCCCACTTTTGTCAAAAGCATTTAGAAAGTGACACACTTCCTGCTGCCAGTTGGTGGCGCTATAACTTTGACTCACAATAGTCACATCCATGTGATCGGCCTCTTACAGCGATCACACTGTTGAAGTTTCATCAAGATCAGTTAATGTATGCAGAAGTTATAACGCACTTCTTGTTTGTTGTTTCTCGCCATAAATTCGTTTCCTCGCCACGGCCAAACCGTTCGAGATATCAAAAATCCCCTCGCAAACTTTCATCCTCAATGTCTTGTCTTCATGCTGACCGAGTTTCGTGCCGTTTGTTTGAATTCTCTAGGAGGAGTATTTCACATTCCATTGCGTGTGTTTTACCAACAACCCTAAATAGCCGACTTCCTGTTGGGCTGGGGTAAAAAGTAAGAGTGTGAAGTATATATGAAACGAGGAGATCTACATGTGTACCGAGTTTCATATTATTACATGCAAGCGTGTTTGATTTATGGACCATGTTTTCGGACCCCGTTCCAGGGGGCGCTGTCGAGCCCCCCTGCCACGCCCGGGTACCATCTTCAGCCCGGCCCTGATGGCCGCGGGTTCTGACATGTGTGCAAAGTTTCAGGAGTTTTTGAGCATGTTAAGGCCTCCAAAAGTGTCCAAAAGGTAGCAGAAAAATAATAATAATAATAATAATAATAATAAATATAGCTGCGAGCAGCGATTACGGGCCCAAGCCGGTGGCACCGCAACCCCGGTTCCTTTAGTTACCTAAAGGCACCGGGGTGGCGGTGCCGCCGGCTTTGGCCCTTCATCGCTGCTCGCAGCTATATTTATATATATATATATATATATATATATATATAAATTATATATATATATAAAAAAAAATATATATATATATATATATATATATCACTTGCCTTACCGGATTAGAACAATGAAAACAATAAAAAAATAACTAGGGAATCACTAAACCGAGAGAATTAATCTGTTTTGATGATACACTCAAAATATTACACAAGCAATTCTTTAAATTT